ATTTGGACATAATTTTTAGACCTCAAATTATTGTTTAAAATGTCTTTGAAAAGATTAAACTAGGCAATAATATTGAAACAAAATGCTTATTGCATATGCAAAAGATTATTCATATATCAGGAAATGTGAGTAAAGGCAAAGGGTATCACTAAAGCTTAGAGATGTTTGTGGAACCAATATACCCCCTTCATGAAGAACTATTACTCAGTGTCAAAATAGTTACCTAATAGAATCCAAAAGTTCTAGAACTCCAAAGCCTAAAATAGCACCTGGTTCTTCAAATTAAGTTGTTGTAGTTGTACTTCTAGTATAAATATTTAGATTCATTTTAGCAGTTAGAAGCACTAAGAATTTAACATTTATGTTCACCAAACCTTTATAACATCATGTTATAGGTAATCTTATTGTACCCATTTTGTAGAAGAAGAAACAGAAGCATACAGAGTTTAAATAATTTGCCCCAAATCAAAGTTATGTAACTAGTAAGAGGTATAGATAACTAATAAATATTTGTTGAAAGAATATTTGAATTTAGTGTACAAAGCTTCCAGCTGACATTCAAGAGAAGCTGTAAACTTTTAAGAATTAGTTAATTTATCTAGGATAAAAAAATAATACAACCCCTCAACTTATGAGTTAGATTAAATATGAAGGGGATATAAAACCCAATACACCTTGAAATGCCTCAAATTATAAATTCTAATAGGTCGGCATCATTAATCCAAATAAAGTAGAATATCACCCTGATGCTATATTTAACTGCTGGTGGCTAAAAGTGGTTCATAATTAAAACTTTGATTATAAAAAGGTAGTTCTAAAAATTTTATGATATGAAAGAAAAAAAGATATAATCTTATGGATAAATATATATTACATTTTGATTTTAAATGCCTTTAATGTAGTGTTTCTTTCATACTCCCATATTGTAAAAACTGTAGTTAAGTTAATGGACTTGATGACATTCAATAATTGAGAAAATATTGTCATATCTTACAGTGACATATACTGTGACAGTGGTAGTAACAACTGCTAAACTCATGAAAGACTCCTATCTTAAGACATTAAATCTAGACAATGATATCAAGCTGCACTGAAGCTGTGGTTATATCAGAGAAAAGAAATAATTTTGGAGCTACCAAAGTAGTCAGGTCACATATGGTAAGGAAATAAAAAGAAAATAAATTTTTCTTTGAAATGTACTTAAAATACCTAAGCCAACATTACAATGTCTCTATCTAAATTGGTAACACCATTTAAATGAAGAAAAAAATCTTTCTCAGTTCTGCAATCAACACATTGTTCATTAATTTAACTTTTAAAAGTTCACACCTAATAAGGTAGCAAATTGGTATCTCATAGCATTTTGGGAAAAAGAAGAGCAAAATCCATCAGGTCATTTGATCAATGAATAAACTATGGGAAATTTGTCTCTTTTAGGCTTCTAAAAGGTTTACTTGGAGGCGGGGATATAGCTCAGTTGATAGGGTACTTGCCTTACATGCACAAGGCCCTGAGTTAGATCCCTAGCACCAAAAAAAAAAAAAAAAGTTTACTTGGAATTCACAAATCTTTCTATGGACTAATTCTAACCATGTGTTGCAATGATTACTGGAGACAAGGGAGGAAGAAATGGCCAAACTAGAGTATGGTTAGGGCAAAGTATGAAATAAAATTGACCTAATAGACAAAGGATAAAGTTGCCTTCTTAACCATAAAATCATCTCAAGGATCAGATTAAAGAGAGATACGTAGGTGGATAGATAAATAGGAAAATAGACATATTCATACATTCATATACACATATTTATCTACACTACCTTACCCTCAAAGAAGTAAAAGCCCTCCAGATTAGCAAGATTTGATTAGCTGTAACTTTTTGGTTCAAAGTATTAACTTATTTAGACAGAGGATTCTAGTTAGTGTCTTGGGGCATAATTTTTCATTTTGACTAATGCTGATCAAGCAGAAGAGGCTTGGCCAATGAACATGAACATTTTAGCTCCTTTGGATAAAGAATTCTTAGAAGCTAATTAAGCTGTTTTTTGGTGAGAGACTTTTCTCATTGTTAACTAGCTCTTTTTTTCTCTGATTAAATTCTCATCAGCAAATCTGGGGACAAATTAATTATGTTTAAAAAATAATCTGCATTCAGGATTATATATCAAACTCCTTAAAGTTTGGGTAATAATGCTAATAATAATACATCAGTCTGATTTTTATTATAAACAATAGATACCCTAATTCAAAATTAATACAGGGATAAATTAGGGATAAATTTACTTTAAAAATAAAATTATCTTGTAAAACAAGAAATTCCAAAATAATATGGCTCCAGGGTTGTTGAGCTCAGGAATGGCAACTCAGATCCAAATCTTTCTTTCAAGTTTTCTATTCTATGTTTCTAATACCCCTCATAACTGAAAAATGGCTGCATGTGGGCCTATCACACAGTCTACGCCAATGTCGAGTTGTGCATGCCTACACACACACACACACACACACACATACACACACAAACACAATACTACTTCCCTTTGTTTCTTTTTAAAATCTGGAAAATCTTTCTTTGCACACATTTCTAATCTTGAGTCAGAACTGGATTATGTGAATGTCATGGAAGCCAGGCAGAATAGAATTAACACGATTAGCTAGAATAAGCTATATTTAACTCTTGAGACTAGGACTGCTACTGCAACTCAGTTGGTTGAGGTTCTTTCTCTAGTGGGAAGTCAAAGTAATAGGATCATGTAGGTCTATTGTTAATTCTTTAAAAATTATTTTTGTCATAGAATATAGTCATATAGAAGGAACTCAAAGGCATCTCTTGAATTACACCTTTGTTGTTCTCTTTTTCCTCACTGTGCAATAGTAGCTTTTTCCTTCTGATAATGAGGTTGAATTACTTCAAGCACAACATAACCATCTCCCTTCTTTTTTGTCTGTTTGGTCAGTGACAGACAGCTTAGATAGCAAAAAGGTAGAGTCAGCTGCCAATTCAAATGGTGGTGCTTCTGGTATCACTATTTGTCCAAAGGCCTCTGACCCAACACAAACCAGAAATAAGGAACACAGAATCACAAATTTTGCAAGTAGGTCACTAACTATATTGAAGACTTATGGAATAATCTTTTAACCTAATATGTTTAAGGAATGTAAGAAGAAAGCTTCTTTTTCTGCTCCTTCTTTGTGCTGTAAACAGGATCATGTGAGAATGTGATATTTTGGACTATGGCAGGCACCTTGCTATCAAGAGGGTAAAAGTCAATAGATAGTGAGTCCACAATGAGATGACTGTATTACTCTGGTTCCCTCCAGAACCCTTTAGAAATAAACAAATATATATGGTCTAAGTTACTATTAGCTTAGGTTCTGTTGCTTACAGTAAAAAATATCCTAGTTGACATATATGGGCAGAAGTGGGTATGGCCAGAAGTAGATCATGAAACTGGTTGAATGAAGCAGCATAGTGTAGGGCACTGAGAACTAAATTATTCCTAAATAGACTCTAAATAATAGCCAAGGATTAGGAATTTCTATTTATCTTTCTTTATGCTCTCAGTCATTATTCAAGGAATATACATCTCACTGTTAATCTAGCTCACATCCTACTACTTATGAGTTAACCTGACAGACTAATCTACTTTGGTATAATGATAAAGTAAAATTTCTAGATATATAAAACTAAGAATAAAATCTCAAAAGGCAAGTACATTTTCTAACATAAAATGCATCTTAGTGTCCTGTTAGTCTTCATTGTCAATACCCTTGTGAAACAGGAGCCACTTAGATCTATAGACTTTCATAAGAAAGAAGATTACAGGTATAACCAAAAAAAAAAAAAAAGCAATTATGGATCCACAGACTTTGATTAAGAGGTTGTATCAGATAGCTATAAATTAACAATCGTGTATTTCAACTATTCTAACATTTATAAAGAGTAGGATTACAGATGATCTATACTAGTGTATCTCAATATGTGTTTCCTGGAATGCTATTTTACAAATATATATATGCATAGTCAAATAAACTTGGAAAATTCTATACATGACATTTCTCTTTTAAAGAGTCATGAAGTGCATCAATGTATTAAAGGCTCTAAAAAGGTAYGCTGTAAATAAAAGCCAATTAATCATAACATTTCATATTCAATTTTATTAGACTTGGGAACTTTAAGCTAGGTATTCCTGAAGAATACATTTGAGAAATGCTTATCTGTATATTCTGATAATATCAATAAAGGTTTTCTATCCATAGGAATAAGAATCAAAGTTACTTCTCACCACTGTTACCGTGCTATGAAGTAAAGTAATGACCATTTTGTTGCTGTATATTGGAGCAAAAAGGAAGATTCAGTATTAGTACGAAGATCCTTTTTATAATGGAGAACTCCCACAAATTTCTTGTTTATACTTACACTGGTTCAACAACAACAACAACAAAATGCTATCTTAAAAATAAGTTGCATGTTGATTTCTATCTGAAATATGTAAATAGGTCAAATTTAAAATACTTTTATAATAGATCTTATCTATGATCAACCTAGTAAACTGCAAAAAATTGTATGCATGTAAGTCTTTCTGTGTGAGTACAGGGGAAAAAGGCCTTTTTGTTAATCTGACCCCATGAGGATATTAAAAAAAATTGTTAAAATAAAAAATCCTATAATAAAATTAAACCATATTCATTGCCAGTTTTGTAGACTCTAAATTTAAAATATGTCAAGAAAATGTTTTAACACAAAATACAGCACAAGAAATATATATTACTGGTTGGTAAGTAAAATTACTTTATTATAATACTGCTAGTAGAATAAAATCAACACACATAACTTGTACATGCAAGGGAAATACAACATAATGGAAACGGGTCTCAGCACATTCCTTTACTAGAATGTGGTCATCTGCCACTAAGTACACAAGCTCATGCATAAAATCAAGACATTACATACAGTTGAGATCACAATGTCATGCATATAACAACAGCGTGCTAGATAATCATACCACAAATTGTGCAGATGTTCTCCCCCACCCCATGAGCCACTGCCAGCAGTTGCTGTGGAGTTTGGTTACCCATATCCGTGACATGAACGGTGTCCTTTGGAGATTCTTGTTCCCTGTGGCTGTAAGTATTCTTATTTTTATAATATTTTAATGATGCTTGCTATTAAAATGTTAAGTACAAAACTAGAAATTATGGAAAAGTAGACTTTTTATAATAGTGAACAATTATATACATCTTATCTCAGATACCTGCAATAAACACCACTTACACTTAAACATATCATCCAAGTAATTTAATGCTCAAGTTAAATGAACTAAAAATGATATTTCTGATGACAGTGCTCCAGTGAGTGGGGGGAAAAAATCAATCTCCAAAAAGTACTCTTGATTTCTAGCACTCAAAAACCTTGACAAACATCATTCTAATGACCTGGCTAACATATGACTCATACAGATAAGTTCAACATAAAAACATCTTTTTGGATAACCCTTTCACTTTTCAATTTGAAGACCTGAAACAATTAATCAAATGGCTATAATATATTTATATTAGTAACAAACATATACAATATAGTCATTAAAACACTTCCCTTCATTCCTCAGAACATATTAAATATATTTCAATATCTTGTTTTGCCTATTTGTATCCTAAGTGCATTCTGGTAAAGACAGAATTCTATTTTGCTATCAGACAACACCTGCTTAATTACTGATATTTATAATAGCACAACATCAGAATTCTGGAACCATAACATACTTTGAGTGGTTCAAGTCTACACTTATGGACAGCACTATATGGCCCTTTCAAAATGGTAAATTCAGTACTTCTGGAATGCTCAAGGATATCTTTAAATCAGGCCAAGAAGTAAAGAAAAAGAAAATACAGCCAACTCTCAATAGCAATGGAAGGTAGGATGGATAAGTAAAATCTGATGATCAAAAAAATTATAATTAAATTAATAACTTCAATCCACTCTCTTAGCAAACATTTTGATTTAAAAATTTTAAAACTATCAGTTTTAAACTTAAAAAAAAAGAATTTGAATTTTACCTCTTTTCTCTGCCTCCCCTCCAAATGCTCTAGAGGAGGTAATAACAAGAATGCTATATGTTGATATACGTAGCTGCAAAAATGGAATCATATTTTTACATCTAGCTTTTTCAATGTGAATACTTAAAACTATTCAATATTTTAGTGTATGAGTATATATATGTATAAATATATATAAATATGTATATTTAATATTTGAATAAAAAGATGGCTTTAGGATTTGTTTTAAAAACAGATACTCTTAGCAAGGAATGACTACTTACCATAATCAACATCAGCAGTTACATCCAACTTTTCCCAACTTTATAAATCTACAACTTGGTACTTACCAAGTTACATTTTCCTTAGAATGCAACATTTTCAAGTCATAACAATCAAATATGACAGTTTTACTCAACATCAATATAATTTGTGATAAGGTCCAGTATGGCTTGAGAAACTAGGCAAAATAAAGACTGGGGCTTACTACAGCTGCCTCTTCTGATCCCTATATATTCTAGAGTTAAACACTGTACTATTCTGCTTCAGTTCTTCAATTACCTCAATAGACTGATGCAAAACATATATCTTGTCATAAAATTCATCATGAGAACTATTTTAATTAACAATGAGTAATATCTAATTTAAATAACAAGTTGAGAACAATAAAGTCTCTGACACCATGCCATTCTCTGATTATCTACCTATAGCAGAATTTCTTGAATGGAGAAGATAAGCCACAGTACAAGATCAAAAAGATGACTAGCTTATTGTTCTCATATGTTTACAAGGAAAAGAACAGATTTGACCAAAACAAAGTAAAAACAAGTGTTTTTTTTCAATAATAAAGGGCATCAGAAAAATTAACAATAAAATAATAAATATTAAAACCTAACTTATGATAAATAATTTATCCATTCATTTGCCTTTCTAAAGAATGGTCATTAGGTTCTAAAAAACAATATTATATTCATTCTAAATATATAATTTAAACTTTAATTTCCAATGACTCATTCTATTTTCATTAAGAGTATCAATTTTCTCTCACCTCTTAGAATAGTAGAGAGAGGAAAGAGAATATCTGAATTTCAGTATTACACCAGGTTTTAAAATATGTAAATTTTRTAAATTTGTTAGCAATGAAACTTTATTTGATTTTTCATGTGTACAAGAAAAATTTAACAAAAAAGAAACTATATGTAATAAGTGAAAATCAATTTAAAAAAATATGCTGTCACAAGTATTATTATATGTACATTTATAAAATCAGTATTCTGTTTAAGATAAAAATATTTTACATGGGAGAAATATTTCCCTAATTATAACAAAAATCAATTCCCTAATTTTAGAACATGTTTAGCTGCATGATTTAATGAGTCCTTTGTTTTTTCCTTGGGGTAGTGGAAACTGAACTCAGGGCCTGATATGTGTTAAGTAAGTACCCCATCACTATGCTACATTCTCATCCCTAAATAGTCCTTAAGACTTCTATAAACAAATAAAAAAGTTGTTTTTTTTTTTTAAATTTAAAAGATTTGGTTAGTTAATATTTTTCCACAGAAAATAATACACCTGGAAGTATTAATTTTGAGCATTGAATAATTTCTACTTAGATTTCAAAGAATTAGTGTAGTAGGTATTTAAACAATTCTGAAAATTAGAACTTTTTCAGAATAAATTAAAATGAGAATAGGAAAAAAAACAGTAGAAGTATTGGCTTCACATTTTGATCATTATTACATTTTAAGAAATAATTAAATGATCAATATAAAATTTTTCAATTTTATAACAATCTCTAAGTACTTTTTATGTCAACAAAGACTTATAGGCATCAATTAAAGACAATATTTTGATGTTGGAAACTAGAATGATGTTATCTGTGATTATGATAAAAGTGTATCACTAGTAAATAAACAATAAACAGAAAATGCATAGACAACATTTGATGAACCTATTCCATGTTCTAATTATCAAAATGTCATATTCTCCAGTAATAAGTATCTCTATTAGATCAGAAGAGGACTGCAAATGTCATGGATGCTGTCATACCAAGTGAGCAAGCAGAAAGAGTAGAACAAGAAAAGGAAAAATGACTATGTCATATAGCAATAATTAAAATACAAGGCTTCTTAGTGATTGAAAAAGTATGTTCAATTACTTGTTTTACCTGCAAATTTGTTATGTTAGAAAGCTGCAGCAAGATAGCAATAAAGTTCACATGACACAAATATTCACATTTTTCACTTACCTCATCTGGGTTGGCATTAAAGGTAAGGCTACCTTCATCTAGCTGCATATACAGTTTTCTAAAAGAAAATCCTAGAGGTGGATTCTTATTGTAAATGGAACAGTGACCCCAAGTGGATTTGCACAACCTGAAAAATAAAAGAAAATGAGACAAAAAGTTATTGCATTTAATTTCCTAAATATGTATGAACATGATAAAAGAGAAATATTAAATAATATAAAATTAGATCTTGTAGCTCTAAAGTTTAAAATTTTTAATTTTATATTTGATTTTTTATTTATCAAACATGATAAGTGCCTTAAATTTGGCAATTTTCATAGAACCTAAAAATTTAAGTTACAAAGATTAATAATATTCATAAATACTACCTGAAGTTTAAAATAAGTATCAATAATAGTAATAATAACTGACAGTGCTTACTAGATGCTGGGCACTATTTTAAGTATTTCAATTGTACTAATTTACTCAACTCTCTCAACAATCTTGATGTTGGTACAATAGATAAAAAACAAAAAGACAAAAATGTTGTCAAAAGTCACACAGCTAATAAAGTATACAAGCAGGATTTGAACACAATGAGTCTTACTCCACAGCTTGAAATCTTAATCAAGATGCTAAATGGAATCTATTAGGTAACCTATGCCCTACTGTGAAATAAAAATAAATGGGATCTGGGGTGGGGTGGGAAAATTGTTGGGTAGGGAAATAATCTTTTGCTTTTTCAAAAATGCATATATTAACAGACAAACTAAACATAGCAATTGTAATGTTACAACTTTAATACATCAAAATGTAATGTTAAGCACGACTGTTAATACAGTTTTTCAAACAAACTGATTCTTTACTATTACAATGATAAATGATTATTTTAAAAGTCTATAGAATCTAAAATACTGTTTGCATCTAAAAATACACTATTTTCTGCAGACCAGTATAGTGGTTTCCAACTCTGTACAGAGGTAATAACTATAGGTTGTTATCTGAAGGCTCAATTTTTGTCTTCTTATGAATGCATGGAAATTCTGGAGTCTTTGCCTCAAAAATGTAAATTTTTGTGTGTATGTTCAAAATATCTGCAACTTGTTGAGACAAAACAGTTTCACCCTCTAATATTCATTATTGATTTCTGCCTCAAATTTCCTTCTTTTCCTTCCCTCTCCCTTTCTCTCTCCCTTTCTCTCTCTCTCTCTCTCTCTCTCTCTCTCTCTCTCTCTCTCTCTCTCTCACACACACACACACACACACACACACACACACACACCAAAGGAAAATGTGAAAAAAGTTATTGTCTTAGTCTATAACATCAGAAATTGCGAGGATAAGTGGGTAAAATACTTGATTTGACACTATCATCTTAATAGTTAATTTATATCCTGGCATTACTTTTACTAACCAAATGAAATCACTGATTTTAAAATCATAAGTACAATAAATTGTTTAGAAATCAGCTTCTGAGTTAAGCTATGTGAAAGCAATAATCTCCCAAYATCAACAAATATTCAACATATTCAAAGTTAAAAACTCAGCCAACCTTTAATTTCAAATAGAAACAATTTTTTAATAAGAAAAATCAAATGTCATAGATATAGGCATAACTATATGGCAAACAATAAAGCATTTCTTTTAGAGATAAACCATCCAGATTTAAACTTCAAATGAAAAATTCTGCTTGAGTTCAGATAAGCTTAGAAATGAGCTTTTTTCAAGTTCAAATGTAGGAAAACAAATTAAGTTTGAGAGGAATGTTAAAATGTAGAAAAATACTACAAACTGAGATAGTTTTAAAGTATTTAATTCCCTCATAAGTTCGTAGGTGATTAAAACTTATGACTTACTTCAAACACTTCTAACAGAATTTCCTCTCACATAATACCTTCACTATGACAAGGCACTGAAAGCATAACAATACCAAACTAAAGATTTTATCTATTCAAAAGCTGAGAAATGACCTGTATTATTTTATACTATAATTATATAACATTAGGAAGGCTAACATTAGAAATTTCACTACCTTTTTACTAAAGTTTGACAATTTAGATTAACTTATTAATTCCCTCAATCTAATTGAGGGAATTAATAAGTTAATAATGATTAATAAGATTTCAGATGGCTTTGAAAGCTCTTTTCAAAGTGCTTCCTGGATATTCTCTTCAATGTTGGTGGAAATGATGGTTGAACTATGGCTGACACTTTGTATTGTATTCACAATACTGTTACTTTAAAAAAAAAAAAACTGTTCTATACTTATGTTCTTGAGATTCAACATGTTTATTTTACATTTTTAATAGCACAAACAAATTTCTTTACCATTTAAAGACAATTAATCTAGAGATAAAACAACAATAATAAAAATATCAATATATTTATTTGAAAAAAAAGAAATTATTTAGTTTTTAAAATATTTTTATTTCTAGATATGTTCTTTGTTATTATGAAATCCCATTTTTAAAACAATGAAACTTAAATAAACTTTGGTAAAGAATGCTAGAAAGTCTGAGATCCCAAAATTCTCCTGTGTTTGTTAACATTTTCAGGACCCAAAAGAAACAAATCGCAAGGACCTATGATTTTTTTTAAGTACTTAAGAAGTAACTTAGGTTCAATTACAGAATCTATACTACCAAATGTTCCTAGATTTGTAATTTAACTTAAACTGGTATAATAGTCACTAAAATTTCTATTATCCACTTTAAGCAAATAGACTGTTTATCCCCTTGCTTTCTAATTTTTTTCCTACTGTATTGATGAAATGGTGGTTAGAAAAAAATAAAAAGTAGATGAATTTTTCACCAGCTAAAGTTTATGCTAATAAGCACCTTTGATAAAATAATGTATAACTAAAAATATACACATGTGGGCTGGGACTGTGGCTCAGCGGTAGAGTGCTCGCCTAGCATGAGCGGGACCCGGGTTCGATCCTCAGCACCACATAAAAATAAAGGCATTGTGTTATTTCCATCTACACCTAAAAAATAAATATTAAAAAAATACACATGTACTCCCTTGGAAACCATTAACATCTGAGGACTATTTATTGATGTTTAGGTATGCCTGTTTTGCAGATGGGATACCTGTGGGAAGCACAAACGACAGAGAGGATGTGAAGACTCCAGGTTCTGAATTATAAATTCTCAGTTCAGAACTTTGTTGTACTTTTAGAATAAGCTGGAAATTTCTGATTTATAACAAACTGAAATTTACAACCTCTCTTTTCACTGTAAAGTCATTGATCCATTTTCCTTTCTACAGTCTTTCTTTTCTCAATATCAAATTTGACTGTTAATGATAACTTTCTCTATTTTTTTCAGGTTTAATAAAGTGCAATTCAACGTACAAGCCAAAGTGAAAAACTTATTTTATTTTACACACACACACACACACACACACATATATATATATTTATTTTTTACAAGAAGAACATTAAGCCTGATTACGTTTAGAGAGATCTGAATCAAATATTGGTGGGTTTAACTTACCCTTGCCAGAGAAGTTCATCATTAGCAAGGTCCTGCCAAACACATGAAGCCAAGCAGAGGTCAGTTGCATTCAGATAGGACAAGATGGTAAAACTTAGCTCAGGAGGCAACATTTCCAAGTTAATGAATCCTTCTTGTTCTTTAGACTTCCTTGCCTTTAAAAGATGATATATATCAATGCCTCCTTGGACTTGTTTACGATGATTGGTGTTAGAAATGTTGCTTGCAGCCATTCTCCTGTTCTGCTCTCTGGTGAGGTAGCCTTGCTCACTATAGCCTTCCTGTTGTAGCTGCTGGTTTCTGGCCACTCTCCACAGCCCTTGACCCATCTGCAAGACTGAGAAAAAGCCAGAATGTAATAATGGTAACATTAAAAAAGTAAAACATCTTTCCCAGTAGTACAACAAATTCGACATGACGCATTCACTTATCAGAATTAAAGTTCCTCATTAAAGACTAGTAAAACCAGTAGTATATTACAAAGAATAGTTGGAACATTTAAAGTACAAAAGTTGGATGGAGAAAGTTTCAGAAATATTTCGTGTGATCATCACCTTTTTCCCAGCTTGCTAACTACTTTTAAGTCCACAGGTGACAAAATCATTTTTCACATGGTAAGATTTAAAAGTTACTGATGTCCTAAAGACTCTTACAAATTATAATTATGTGGACTTATGGACCAGTATTAAATACAGCTCTGATCAGAGCACAGGACTTTAGTTAAAAGGCCTCCAGACCCTGCTTTTTATCACAATTCGGGCTAAGCTAAACTAGCCCCTTTTAACCAAACTCCCAGATGCATAACAGCTGTGAAACAGGCTTTTCGTTTAATTCTTGCCAGTCTACACTTACGTTGTAGACTGTAATAAAATGTAACATAGGCCCTGAAGTCTAATTCGGAAACCTTATAAATTAGACACCTAGAACTCCATGATAAATTGCTTAGTAACAGTGGACTATTTTATTTTGTTGTTGCTTTAAAATAAAAATCATAATTTAGACTAATTTTCCAATACTTCTCCACATGGCTCCATGGATTCCCCTGAGGTACCTGGGGAAAAGCAAAAAAGAAGGTGTGCTCTAGTCTCCCTCACCTCCATTTGACTTTCCACCAGAGCAGCTCTAAATTTTTCAGTTACAGATATTGGACTGTAATATACAGATACTTAGAAAACAAGTGGCCTAGATTTCTTATTTGATCTTGTCTTTAAAATAAGCAGTATTTCCTGAGTAAGAACTTCATTAAAAAAAACTAAATAAGGAATAGATTTTAATACAAGTAATTTCTTTCATGATCACTCTTTCAAACAAAATATTCTTGCTTTATTAACCCAAGTTGACTACTAATACTTGTTTGTTTCAAAAATTTGGAAAAAAATACTGATTTTTACATAAAATCATTAACATTGTGAAATCCATTCATAGCATTACTTGAACTTATAGTTTTGTTAAGCAAAAATAAAAAAAAACCCTAAGATGAAACAAGAACAAACAACAAACAAATGAACAAATAAGCAAACAAAAACTACAACATTGCTGTAGAAACTCTGAAAATTCTTAGGAATAACTTGAAAATTGAGTAGACCTTAAAAGAATGTCAAAGATATTATTTTCTTAATATTTAAAAAGGAATACTCCACATGTATATTTACTAAATTACGGGCTATTATCTGGACAATGACTATCACATTAGGTTACTTGTTGATCCAAACAAGAAAAATAATTAATTTTAACTACTCCTTCTTACATTGAACTGCTTGAAATTCTAGCAGCTTAAGTTACAAAATGGTGGCATATTTGTGTGCATGTTGAAGTAGGAGGTTAAGAGAAAAGGAATATATTAGTGATTTTAAAACACAGAAGGCACAAAAACTAACCTTTCCTTACCTACCATGCATACCACTATAATGGTATCAGTTCTTAAATTATGAGTTCAGCTTTAAAAAATTAATGCTTAAAAACTACATAGTATTAAGAAGATGGAAGGACAAACCACAGACTGGGAGAAAAATCTTTGCAAAAACATATATATAATAAAGAGCAATAATCCAAAATATACAAAGAATGCTTTAAACCCCCAAATAAGAAATAAACCACTTAAAAAATGGGCAAAAGATCTCAGTAGGAGTCTAGTAAATTTTTTGTTCTTTTTCCTGTTTAGGAAAAAACATCTCAATAGACACCTCACCAAAGACATACAAATGACAAGAAGACACTCAACATCCTATGTCATTAGGAGATTGCAAATTAAAACAATGAGATAATATTACATAACTATTAGAATGGTATATTCAAAACACTGGCAATAGCAAATTCTAGCAAGGATTTATAGGAATGTAAAAAGATACAGTTACTTTGGAAGACAACTTGCAGTTTCTTACAAAATCAAACATACTTTTATCATATGATCTAGCATTCATTCATACTTTTTGGTACTTACCAAAATTAGTTGAAAACTACACAAAAATCTGCACATGTATGTTCATAGTAGCTTTATTCATCATTACCAAAACTTGGAAGCAATCAAGATGTGCTTAAGTAGGTGAGTGTATAAACTATGGTACATACATATAATGGAATACTACTCAGCACTAAAAAGAGATGAGCTATCAAGCCATGAAGAGTCATGAAGAAAACTTAAATGCATATTAGTAAATAAAAGAATCCCATATGAAGTTCTGACCCCAATTTTACAACATTCTGGAAAAGGCAAAACTATGGTGTTGATTTAAAAAAAATTAATAACAAAAAAATTAATAACAAAAAATATAGAATGCCAACAAAAATTCATAGAGTTTTCAATTTTCTTAATATTTAAATAGGCCATGTTACATTATAAAATAAGCACATTTAATTTTGACACAAATGTAACATTTTAAGACTCACAATCATAAAAAAGTATTTTATTTTCATGTTTTTTTGGTTTAACAGCCAGAAAATACCTAGGTATCACATGTGTTGCTAGTTTCATCTAGTGTATCTGTTATTCTAAATAACTAAATTTATTTTTCTCTTTTGCACCACTAAAGGTAAATAATCAAACATGGTAACTATGGTGTCTGAAATCTTAATATTTAAGACATTTAATAATAACTTTCATGTACTTCCTCTATAGCATCTTTTTAGTGGCATATGTTTAAGCAGCTGTTGTTAGGGCTGTTGCTAGGGAACAAAAAACCAGGGTGATTTCCCTAGGCTCTGGACTTTAATTAATGAGGATCATTTAAACTGAGCACTGGATAATGTGATCAGAAAGCATCCAGCAGGTAGAAAGAGGTAAAGGGTCAGTTGCTGTTTCTTAAAAAAAAAAAAAAAATGATGGGGAGGGTGGAGAGTTGAGGCTCAAAGAGAACTGCAAGGATACTTATGGGATACTTGACTCTAAATTGTAGCTTTTACACATGTAGTGTGGAAAAATAATAATACCTAAAGCTCAAAAGGCTGTTGTACTGGAGATGATGTCTACAAGATTCATTTCATGCCTAACAATCAACACACGTTAGGTATTACTTTCTTTTGTCAGAATCATTTTGGCTTATGATGAACACTTTCATAAAATGTATTAAAATACTTTAGCTATTCTGAGGTTTTGCCAGCTCAATAAAGTTATTTATGTTTATACTTGCCTAGGTTTGTAGGGATTATGCACACAAATTCTTCATCTCTTTTAATTATTCTTATATTTTGGCCAAGTATTTTKGGGTTTTGTTTAGTTTGGTAAATGCAATTTGTTTTTCAATGACCATTACTCACCCACGGGGGGAAAAAAGCCCTTAAAAAAAAGGTTGTGAATTCCACAAAAAGATTCAAAAGTCAATATGCCTGACAATGATGCCAATAGCAATATCTTGGTTCTTGTGTTATCATCAGTCATCTGTCAACTTCTGGCTTTAAAATTGAGATTCAAAATATGATATGAAACATGAAGAGATCTAAAATATGCAGTTAATGCTGGGTTGTTGCATTACTGAACTAAACAAAGCTTGATTTCAAGGTATGGCATTTTTAGAATTGCCAAGTTTTAATAAAATCTTGGTATAAGGATTTTTAACACTGAAGCATACATAATATTATAAAAGATATAGTGCTGTCACTCATAGCAATTATTTGGTTAAAAAAAGTCACTGAATAGTTGAATCACTGAATATACAAAGAATTCCAAATTGAAAGAAAAATGAACACAGAAGTTTTTGTATTTGAAATCTTTTTTTTTGTTTTTAGAGAGAGAGAGAGAGAGGGAGAGAGAGAGAGAGAGAATTTTTTAATATTTATTTTTCAGTGGACACAATACCTTTATTTTTATGTGGTGCTGAGGATCAAACCCAGTGCCCTGCGCATGCCAGGCGAGAGCATTACCACTTGAGCCACATCCCCAGCCCCACCAGTTCTATTTTAATATGAATTTTTGTGGTGAAGTTACTGCTGGTAACTTATATGTYCACTACAAATAGGTTGAGGGAAATGGATAATGCTTTCCTGGAAAAAAATTCTTCACTTTAAAAAGATAATAATTAGTGTATTTCATGTATAAATATTAGAAATAAAATTTATTCTTCTTATTCATTTTAGCTATGTTTTATAAAATTCAGTGAATTGCTAACTACTGAATCACTGCTCCTACAGAAAATACAGAGATATTTACAATGGTTAAACAGCCAAATGAATGAGATTTGAAAACTTCTACTTTCCTAGAATTATGCAAACATGCCTATAAGGAGCATTACTTGACTACTATTATGATCAGTTAATCCTGATCAGTCTCAGAGTCATTAGATATTATTTTGATTTAAGAGCAAAATATTCATGTTCAATTCCACACTGCCCACAAACACACTCATGCAGCACAGTAGTGGACAAGAAACTCTGAAGCCTTATATTAATGACTATTGAGTGAGGAACTGGTAATCAAATTGAGTAATCCTAAATACTTAGTTCTAAGGAATGCATCACATGAACTGAACAATGGCCATTTAATTAATTTAATCTCCTGCATAAGAATTTCATATTTTGGTTGATTTATTATCATATTTTACATTTCAAACTTAACTTTCTATTCCTAAAGTCCTATGCTGTTGTGGCATAGCAGCATAGTAGTAGGATGATGTAAATGAAAGTCATAAGATTCAGAATTATTCAAAAATTAACAAAGCCTTTGAAAAATATTTACCCAGAAGACTGCACAGAGCTTCTTAATTAGCTAATGCTCCCTTTGTGGAGTGAACAGTAACTACTATGAAAAAAGATTTCAACATATTGGTGTAACATGAAAAGTGGGAAGAGGAGTGGTTTCCAATGAAGTCATGTAGAAAAAAAGGAGGATGGTCTGGAAAAGTGCAG